GCTGAAACAATGACGTTTCATCGAATGACATTTTAGCGAATTCGGAGGAGCCGCCGGTTTCCTATCCTCCCATGGGGTAAAAGCCTGGTTTGTCGAAATAGTACCTTAGTTTGACGAATCCCTAGGCGGTACACCCAAAGAAGCTAATATACCGTTCGGATTAGCTTGCTTTTGTAATGAGCCGCCTTGTCTGGCGCCGCGAGTGCTGGTTCCGCGTAGCCCAGTTTTTAATTTCACGACAAATCGACTAAACATGTTGGTTGGGGATGTCTGTGCGCTCGCTACATCACTGTTGTGCTGATGCTACACAGCGCACATGCAAGATGCAAGCATGGTGTTCTAGAATAACGCAGGTATGCGCAAGAATGCATGCCCTGTCGCTTTGTACTGTATTAATATTACCCTGTATCATCATAATCCATGCAACAGTATTATTTAAACGAAGATTTGCCTCGTAGGGTAAAACGTAGGGTAATAAGAAACATTCGTAGGGTAATGTAGGGTTTTCTGGACGCTGTCGTCGGGTATTTTCGAAAAATAGGTTGGCAACACCGAGCCGTGCCCGAAGACATGATTGCCCAATCTTTCAAGGGGTGTGGCATCGGTAGCAAGGATGGCTACCTGCACAACGGACTCCCAGGCATCGGAGCACCAGCAGCCTGCTCCAATCCCGAAGGTGCCAGCGATGAGTGCGTAGACCTTGTCTTTTGCAGTGATTCCGAAGAGTCATTTGACAGATTTAGTGATAACAAGTGAATAATGACGTCTACCAATCATCTGTACAGCGGAAATAAAAAAGCCAGGCTGGCTGCTTTCTCTGTTTCCACGGCTCTATGAGGCTCTTCATCAGCCGCCATCTTGATTTTGGCGCATGAACCTAATAAGCGCCCATAGTTGGTTTCTATGCGTATTTCAATAAAATGGGGGTGGGCGCTTCTTCGGTACTTTACGGTAGTCATTTCTTGATTATACAGTGCGACTGGACCTAAGCAAACCATTAACACTGTAATTAAAGGTAAAAGAAATTTCAAGGTAATTGTAATGGCTCAAGTTAACATGCACAAATTCTGGCAAAAGAATAATGATCACTACTGTTTAGCAGACTACGAAGCAAAAAGAGATATTCATATTAAAAATAGCGCAAAAGAGACGGGACAAAAAGACGAAGAAGCACACAGGACAAGCGCTAACTAGCAACTAAACTTTATTGAAAGCTTCCAACTTTGCTATCGCCATGCACGCTTAGTCTTGTATCAACAGAAATAGGGCGTACCGCCAAATCTGCACATTCATACCGCCCACCACCTGTTCCAAAAAGTCAGCAAAACAGCTACATCACCCCGCCGCACAATCCGAACGAGGAAAGGAATAGAAACACGCCACGTTAATATCAATTTATCAATTTAGAGTGGGCTGAGTTTTGACTCAGCCCACTCTTAATTGATAAAGAGGGGCATCGCCTCGCTCTGCCTCCGGTCGGCTCTGTTGAAGTCCTGTCCGCATGTAGTTAGTGAGAGTTTTGACCTCCAGACACTTCGCTTGGAACACTCCGGGTTTCCCTCGGTTTTAATCCAGGGAGTTGCGGAATCCCTTCTAAAGAAGTTGAAATGCTCTTCCATTGTACCTAAGAGGAAACCAAAGAATTTGGTAGTGCTACCTTACGTCCATAAGGTGTCGTACAATCTGAAAAGGATTGCATCAAAGCTCGACGTGGATGTTGTCTTCACTGCCCCGTGCAGATTGTCAAAATTGTGCGCTATGGTGAGCGGGCCGAAAGTGAACAAACCTGTTTGTAGCAAGAAACACCTGACAAAGTTTTGTACCTTGTGCTACTGAGGTGGTTTACAGACTTCCTTTAACGTGTGGTCGTGTCTACATAGGGCAGACGGGACGTTGCTTAAATGATCGACTTCGAGAGCATGCGGCTTCTCTTGGCAACAATTACGGTTCCCACTTACCGGGGCATTGTAAAACTTATGGTTGTTCCCCCACGCTGGACGGTGCGCAGGTGGAGGGACGTAACAAAGGAAGGAGGGAACGAGAGTTGCTGGAGGTGGCAAAAATACATGCTTGTGACAAAGACGTTTGCATAAGCGTCGCATCGGTGTATATGCAGCCAAAAGAGTACAGTTTCATTAACACTATCTAACTTGATAATATTAACGCGGCGTTTTTTCTATTTCTTTCCTCGTTCGGATTCTGCGGCGGGGTGATGTAGCTGTTTTGCTGACTTTTTAGAACAGGTGGCGGGCGGTATGAATGTGCGGATTTGGCGGTAAGCCCTGTTTCTGTTGATACGAGACTAAGCGTGCATGGCGATAGAAAAGTTGGAAGCTTTCAATAAAGTTTAGTTGCCAGCTAGCCCTTGTCCTGTGTGCTTCTTCGTCTTTTTGTACCGTCTCTTTTAGGCTATTTTTAATATAAATGTCCACTACCAACTTGCCCAGCAGACCAAGCTTTTACAAAAAGAGATCATGTTTGACGGGCTGACCTCGTCGCAAAAGAAATACAAATTTGCTAATTTAAGGAAACAAAAAACACAAAATACAGAAACATACAAGGTACAAAATACTCAACTTGACATTAGTTGCCGCCGCATGCATGCTAACACCCCGGCTCCCACATTTCAGGTAGGACTTCCCTTTTTTCAAACGTTCACTGTTCTCTTTCTTTTTTTGCAAAATGCAGTCAAGTTTTCAGAAATACTCGCACAAGTTTTGTCTTCACATCATGACACCCCGAAAAGCAGTTCGAAAAGGTAAGGGAACCTAAAATAGGCATCCTCAGACTGTCTAAGCAAACTGTATTCGAAAGCAGCTGTTGCTCATTGTGTCTAAAATAAGTCTTGGCTCGCTCAAGCAGCAGCATCACAGATGCTGAGGGCATTACCAGCCTTATGTTTTCTTTGTTGTATGACTTCAATTGTGTCAACCTATTAGCTGGATTGCAACTACATATGGCGCCAACACAGCCTGTACACAACGAAAACCTGTCTATGACACTCCGAACTACACCCAAATATTCTAAAGACTCCTGCTCTGGTCAAGTGAGGTCAAGCACGTCTTCTGGGACATTGGGCTCAATCTCCTCGACTGACTCGGCAGAGCAATGCTTTTGCTGCAATCCTGTCAGCAAAAATCCACTCTCCTCAGCATAGCTCCCATCCTTGTGCGGTCGCAGGACAACCTCTGATTGCGCACTTTAAGTCACATGGGCATGGTACTCGGTTTTTGGATCTCAGAGAGTTCTCCAAAGCATCTGGACTCAGGCAGCTTAATTAAACAAATAAAAGTCCCTTTTCACTCAAGAAGGGGTCCTGCAATTCAAGAGCTGATGTTGTGGCCAGGATAACTCCTGTTTGAATAGGCTTCCACACATGCTGCACTGCATTTCCAAAGGACAATGTTGCAAACAACTCAATCGTGTCTCTGAGAAATGGAAGAGACTCATATTTGTTTGAATCAAATCTGCTCAGTGCGAGTTTGGTTGTTTGCAACCTCACGATGCGGAACCATTTAAAAAATGTCTCAATAAGCCACGCTGTTGTCAGAGCATCTTTCGACATCTGGTTCTTTTCGACCAGAAGACAGATAGCGGCTGCTGTGTCAATATTGAAGAAAGAAAACGCAAGCCCCACTTTCATTTTCTTGTAATGGCCAGGTTCCACCCATGACTCCTTCAAGTGAGGAGCCAACTTAAGCTCGGAGGTTTTAACCAAGCCTATGAGCAGCTTCACACAGTCCAGATTCACCTCATTGCTAACAAGCCCATGTTCATCATCCACACTTTGAGGTAGATAATTAGACTACCCTCCCGTGAGATGGTTTCTCAGGTTTTTAAGCAGGTGTGGTACATCAGCCATGAAGTACAAGTTTCTTGACGCGTCACAAGAATGAGGGCAAGAAACAATGCGTAGACCATTCTTGTTTACAACAATGCCAAACAGCTTCCATAGGCCCAAGCATCCTCCTCCCATGTTGCTGAACACAGCATCCACAATTATGCCAATGCGAGCACACTGCTTCAGGATGTCAACGATTACCTATTTTCCAGTGTATAAGTCGCAGTTTTTTTTCAAACATTTTTCTTCGTGCGACTTATACAACAATGCGACTTATTTTAGATTTGTTTCTTAGGTGAGACGACATTTTTTTTATACGCTGCGCGCCATTTTTTGTAGAGCACCATAACAGCGTAGCCATGGGCGGTGTTTCTTCCTCCAAGAGGCGCTGCTGTCACCGCACTGTTTTGACTCGGAATGGGAGCTAGATATTTTCATTTTTATGGTTTCTCCGAAGCGGCTCAATGCGCATAGGCAAGACGGTGAGAATAAAACTTTTACAGCATGTTATTGATGTTGCTCAATTAAGCCATGGTTCTGTATTCTTTTGCATCAGTCCAGTAACACTGAAAAGTAAGGGGGCTGGTATACACGCATTGCAGAATATTTTCTCAAGTCTTTCTTAGTTTCCGTTTGATGAGCAGTTTTTTTATGCCACGCTCCAGCCGTGTTGCTACGTGTAAAAGGAAGGATTTTGGCTAGCCAATCTTTTAGAGGTACCAGAAAAAAATATGTCAAGGTTTATCTTTCTGCCTGCGCATCGATGCTTGCGTCGTCTCCAGGACTTCGCCAGGCCTAGTGCTCCAAAGCTTGGTTTGAGTGTCTAGCTCCTTAAACCTTTGTTCGCTCGGCATGCGTCCGCTCGAATAAAGTCGACTACCCTCTCATTTTGCGCATTTGACATCCTTTTGCTGTGAAACACTCGATTGCCCCTGCCAGACAGCACCATACTATGGGTATTTCTCACAAGTCGAAATGTACAACAAACATTAAGTGCGATCTAGCAATTGTGCGAAACTCTGATTTCGCAATACCAATGCGCGTAAACTGAAAAAATCATAGCGTGGACCATGCAAAGAGGTGCAACTTATATACCAACTTTTCGACGAAGACGGCTCAATATATGGATGTGTGACTTATAATCGGGGAAAATACTTACCTCTTTCCCACTCATAGCACTGAAAGACTTTCCAGTAAAATGGTATGCAATAGTCTGCTTCCACCTTATGGTCAGTCAGCCAAGCATAAATACAGGGCCGTGTCTGGCAAGACGCTTTTCCGGGATGCTACCATCCGCAAGAAGAAGGGTTGGCTTGCCCAAGATCCTTCCAGTTGATGGGTCGTAAACCAGACTTGGCGACAGCTCAATTTCATCAATCATTAGTGACACATGGCGTTCATCTGGGGACATCATGCTGACCTGTAAAATTGAAGAAAAACATTTATTAATGAATTTAAATGTTGCAAAATCCCGCCTTTTCGCCCCCCCATTTTGCAAAGAAGTGACAGTGATAGCTGTGCCATGTTCGCGCAATGTGGTAAAAATGTCGCCGCAAAATGTGGACACAATGATGCAGACTGTTTCTTTTACTGCAATGTTGGTGAGATGGTGCTGCATCATACCACCATCAATCAGTGTTTGCAAATTCTATATATGCTAGTCTTGTGCGAGTAGTGGATTTTGAGTTCGAAGCGAATACTGGTTTTGGCCGAATATTTTCGATTCGAATATCGAATAGTTTTTCCATGCCTTCCACTACCATAGCGTAATGCTTAGACGAAAACCCAGCTAACTTGTGAAGGTTGTTCCACTTGTTCATTAATAGGCTAAGTTTATCTATATTTTTAAAATGTGTCTTCATAAGGTCTGATGTCTTGGGATGGTAAGTAAACAAAGAATTTGACATAAAATGAATCCTATAGAGATGGCCACCTATACCCAATTGAGTGAATTTAAAAAGTTTGCTATATAAAATACGCCTTCTTTAATCTCAAGTTAAAAAATAAATAATTGCACATGTTGAACGCAGGTTGTAAGGGCATCTCTGCCTAATATAACACCAACTCATGTTTACAAACAAACCGGAGCGCCCCAAGCGGACGCCTCCGGCGCCGCGCATGCGCGGTGGACGGTGGGCAAGAAGCCCGCCGTCGCCCATAAACAAACCATTGCATTGCGTTGTTTTCGGCGTCGGTGGGAGTCCCCGTGCTCTTTTTCGCGTTGAAATTGTTGATTTTACGTCCTCCTAACAATGTCGGACTACTTGAGCGGCTTCAGCAAAGTTAACGAGGCAAAACTTTACGTGAATAATCTGACATGCGGCGATTCACTTCACGTGGACGCCGCAGAATGGGCGCTAAAGCCTGACTCGCACGATGAGATTCATCTCGCTATTTTCAGTCGCGCAGTCGCTCGGGCTGCAAAAGCGTGCACCGTAGGTGAGATGGTGGACGTCAATACTGAAAACCGCAAGTAGAATCGGGCATTACAAGTCGGTGATGGCCACTGATAACGATCAACATCGTCTTGTATCTGTTTACACTTAGCTCCCAACCAACCTTCAAATGTGTTTTGAGGCCTGCACTCAGTCTTGGGCAGTAACTAGTTACTAGTAACGCGTTACCGGTAACTAGTTACTTTTTTCGGTAACTTTTAACTGTAACGCGTTACTCTTTAATACTGGTAACTTGTAACTGTAACACTGTTACTTTTTTATTGGGTAACTGTAACTGTTTAGGCCGTTACAGTTACTTTTTACTATAAAATTAAAATTCCTGGCTGACAAAAAAAAAAAGAAATTGAACAAACAAAAAAAATTGCCTCGTTTTGCCCACGACGGACCATAGACGAGACGGACGAGCGAGCACGAAACCGGGAGATTAAGGAAGCGGCGCCTGCGGTGGTAGGGGAGGCAAACAATGTGTGTTTCACCGACTTTGGCTCAATCTTCTTCTGTGGGGACCGTCTGCGGGTGTCGGTGGTCATGCGACATGTCTCCGAGTATTCCGTCTGGGCTGTGTCTGCCCTTCCCCCTCTCCCTTCCTCTTTGTCAGATATGTCCGCGCTGTACGTCGCTTTTACACCCAGCCGGTCGCCGCTCCCTCTTCGCTATGAGTTTCCAAGGAAGCCGTCCCCATATTAGGCGGAAAGTCGGCGCTTGTTTAACTTATTCTTTCTCTTCGGAACCGCTCGAGTAAATTGCCTTTCCCGCTGACAGCCCCAAGAAATACTCCAATAGACGTTTTGTTGTGGATTCTCTGCAGTGCTCCAGCTGAAGCGATTACCCGGAAAACACGTGTTTTTAAGAGAGAGAAATTGCTGTTTTGAGGCGCGTGTGCGGACTGATCTTCCACAGTTGGCGTTTGAGACAGAGGCGCCGCGGTGGTCGTCGTACACACGTAGAGCACCAGAAGGCCTCACTTTGTCTCCTTTCCCCCTATATTCTTCCAAAGCTGTTTGACCTGCTATATTTAAGCCTGCTTTCGAGTATATCCCATAAGGTAATTATGTGACCATCTGTGTCCTCTTTGGTTTCGGAGTGAAAAATAAACGAAAATGTTCACTGACGCGGGAGGTCCATCTAACGCAACGTATGTCCGAAAGCTTGTACCCTGTCGCCTATTGGTGAAAACTTTTGGGGGCTGAGCCACGTGCGGGAATGCGATTGGTTTGCGCAGAGGCCAGTTTAACCAGACGGTTCAACACGGGGATTCCGTCAAGCGCGCCGGCTGAACGCCTGTTCAGCAAAGGACGCGATGTGTTCGCCATCAAGAGAGGGAAGCTCTCCGATGACAATTTTGAAAAACAGTTGATATTAAGTTATAACAAATATTGCAAATAAGTTATAATCGTTAAAATTCTGAAACGACGAATGACACAAAAAAGAAGCACCCTTCGGTTTTAATGTTTTCTAATTTCTCAGCAGTTCATCTTTCTTCTCACTACAGTGTAACAAATAAAATATTTTTTTTGGTTTATGGTTTCTTGTGTCCAATTTTTGTACTGTAACGAGAAAGTAACGGCGTTACTCTTTCTGCGGTAACTGTAACTGTAACACGTTACTTTTTTAATCCGATAACTGTAACTGTAACAGAGTTACTTTTTCCCCCTAGGTAACTGTAACACTGTTACTTTTTACTGGTAACGTGCCCATGACTGCCTGCACTTAGTTCTTATCGTAATTACCGGGTCAACGTTTGGTTTACGGGCCGCTGTCGTTTGAACGAGCTGACGACAAAAAGCATACAAGTTTGAAAGAGCAGACGACAGTTCGAACGCATGCGAAATAGAGTGCGGACTAGAAGCACCGCGTCCCGCGTCCACAAACCTTTAAAATGTCACGTTGTCGGCGTCTGTGTGAGTCTGCAACTCTTTTTCGCGTTGGAATTGTCGAATCTACGTCCCCATCGCAATGTATTACCATTTTAATCGCCTGAGCGAAACTATCAAGGCTCGTTACACCGATAAACTTTGCGTAAATAATTTGACGTGCGGCGATTCATTCGCGTGAACGCCACAGAATGGACGCCAAAACCACGATGAGAATCTTCTAGATATTTTCGGTTGCGACGTCGCTCGTGCTGCAAAAGTGTAGAAGGTAGCGACAATGATCGACGTCGATACTGAAATTCGGCAGCGGAAACAGACCAAGCGTAACAAGTCGGTGATGGCCACTGGTACCAACGATCAACATCTTGTATGTACTGTTTACACCGAGCCTACTTAAGTCGTTTGAGGCCTGCAATTAGTTCTTATTTCAATCACCGGGTCAAAGTTTGGTCTACGGGCCGCTTTTGTTTGAACGAGCAGATGACAAAAAGCAGACAAGTTCGAAAGAGCAAACGAAAGGTCGAACGATCAGGCGGCCGTGTAAATTTGAAGACGCACTGAACCCGCGGGGGGCCCGGACAACTTGGCGGTTTTCTCTCGTTAATGTTGGAACAAAAATACATCTGGCAACCACAAAGTGTTGCCCGCACAAGCAATCGTAGTTCGACAGCGTCTGGTTTACCCTTTTCACGGCTACTATCCACGTACTCGGACGAACGGAGCGGGCAGAAACACATGAAAACTGATCTCAAACCTTTCCAGACTCTTTTGGCACCACCCCCGTAGCAGCATTCTGACGAGAACGCAGGTTTTTTGTCTGGTTTCTCCGAAAAGAACACAAGAATGCATGTCTTGCACGGTGACTTCTGCCCACCGCCCCAGACCGGAAGTGCGTCCGACGCGCCACCACCGCGGCGTGACGTAGGAGAGTTGAGTTGGTGTATACTCTTGCATAACAGTAAGTTTAATTGATCGATTATTAGGTGTTTAATGGCGCAAAAAGCAACATAGGCCATGCTGCGCCAAAGGAATAATTAAAAGACTTTATAGTAAAAGGAAGGAATTACTATGCAGAGGATCTATAACTGGTGCAGGTAGCCAGTTTTTTTAAGAAAATCTAAAATATGACCAAAAGGAACTAAAGGTTGATCCCCTAGTAAAAAGGCTAGATGAAATGGAAGGTATCCAGAAAATGAAGGGAAACTTGTTCGACGTTCTTGATCAAAGAATTTGCAGTGCCATAGAATATGCAGCATTGTTAGCAATTCACCGCAATGCTCACAGACTGGGGTGTCCTCACCACAAAGAAGGTGTCGATGGGTGACACGTGAATGTCCAATTCTCAAACGACACATTAAAACTTCATGGTGACGGTCTCTATGGTGCGAACTCTCCCATACCTCCAAACGTGGTTTGATGACATGTAGCTTATTTATTTCTTCGTCCCAGTCTTGCTGCCAGGCATTATGAATTGCTTTCTTAAGAACTGGTTTAAAATCTTCTTGAGGCAGCTGAACGGGTGTTTCCAGAGCATCCTTAACAGAGGCTGCTAGCATATCCGCCTTCTCATTACCTGAAATTCCCACATGGCTTGGTACCCAGCACAGCTTGATATTGTATCCCATTTGGAAAGCCAGGTTTAACTCTACCCGTACTTGTTGCACGAGCCGATTCTTAGAATCTTTGAGGGAACAGAGAGAGATGATAGCACTGTGGGAGTCCACAAACAAGATAGCTTTCCTGATGTTGTTGCCTAATATATATTCAATGACCATCAGCATACCATAAAGTATTGCAGTAAAAATGCTGGCAACAGAGTGAAGCCGTCGAGCTTTTACAAAGTGTTCTGAATATACAGCCGAACCGACAACGTGTGGAGTTTTTGCACCATCAGTGAAGAATTGTGCATGGTCCTTATACTTAGCTTGCAAGGTCATAAACTCTTGCTGAAGGACTAGTGGTGCAACAGTTCGCTTATTGTATTTCGCTAGTGACCAGTCACAGGTATAGTGCACCACCTTACAAGGAGCAATGCTTCGAACTTTTGTCATCAAGCTACGCTCAGGAAGTGCAAGCTGCAGGGATGCAGACATGCATTGAATGCGGAGGCTTAAAGGCCGTACTATACTTGGCTTGTTCTCAAAAAGACGTGAAAAAGGAGATACCTGCGAGCAACGATAGGATGGGTGTTCATGGTCAGATTTGACTTTATAACTATAGCATAGGCTGAGGAACTGTCTTCGCTTTTCTAGTGGCACTTGGTGCGTCTCTGCATACAAACTCGGAACAGGCGACGTTCGGAAGGCCCCCGTGGCAAGTCGAAGTCCAAGGTGATGCACAGGATCTAGCATTTTTAAAAATGACGGTCGTGCCGAGCCATATACAACCGCACCATAGTCGAGGCGGGAACGAACCAGCGAGTTGTAGAGTCGCAGGAGGCATCTCCTGTCAGAACCCCAGGACATGTGTGCAAGCACCTTGAGAACATTGGCAGATTTAAGACACTTTCGCTTCAGTTCTTTTAGATGGGTCCGAAAAGTGAGCTTCTTATCAAAAATAACACCCAAGAACTTGTGTTCATGCCTAACGGATATGTCAGTGCCATTCATCTGCAAGCTGGGATCTAGCGACAACCCCCGACGTAATGAAAAAGGCACGCACACCGTTTTTTCTGGTGCAAACCGAAAACCATTTTCTAGGGTTGTGCGAATATTCGAAATTTCGAATAGTAGTTCCGAATAATACACTATTCGATATTCGCTTCGAGAAGAACTTCACTATTCGCGTTTTTCGAAGTGTTGATTGCGGTGGGTTAGCCCCGTTGAGTGTGCTTCTTACCGAGCACCGGTACACTGCGAAGAAGCAATGCCCGCGGAAGCAAGCTTTGCGGGTGTTGCTTCTCCGCATTACATCGGTGCTCAGTAAGAAGCGCACTCAACGGAGAAACCCGCCGCGATAAACATTTGGAAAAGTATGAATATCGCAGTTGCGTGCTTGGACGAAAACCATACATTCAAAGCGGGATGGTGCATACGTGCCGGCTGTATATGAAAATAAATGGAAACTTTGTGAATGTGTATTATCTACATTGTAGTAAAAGTTTTAAAATTAAACTGACTGTTTTGCAAGAGTATATGTTGGGCAGAGATGCCCTTAAAACCTGCGTTCATCATGCGCGAGTCATTCTTTTTTAACTCGAAATTAAAGAGAGAATATTTAAGATTTGTAAAATCACTCAATTGGGTATAGTTGGGAATTTCCATTAGATTCATTTTATGTCAAACTTGTTTACTTACCATCCCAAGACATCAGACCTTCTGAGGTCACAGTTCATAAATATAGATAGATTAAACTTGGCTTTGTGGTTTTGTCTAAGCATTATGTTTTGGTAGTGAAAGGCGTGGAAAAACTATTCGATATTCAATTCGAAAATATTCGGCCAAAACCACTATTCGCTTCGAATTCGCTTCGAACTCAAAATCCACTATTCGCACAAGACTACCATTTTCATCAGCCCACTTACTCATCCTATTTATTGCTATCTGCAATTGGCGCTCACAAATTGACAAGTTGCATGAGGAGAAAGCAATCTGGACATCGTCTACGTACAATGAATAAAAAACTGGTGGTGGTATAACTGCAGCGAGGCTGTTGATCTTAATTGCGAACAAGGTAACACTCAAGACACCTCCCTGTGGAATGCCGTTTTCCTGTGTAAAAACATCCGAGAGCGTGGATCCCAGGCGGACCTGAAAACAACGGTCTGTCAAGAAGTCCTTTATGCAATGCAGCATGCGACCACGAACACCGCACCTATACAGGTCCTGAAGTATTCCGTACCGCCATGCCGTATCATAAGCTTTCTGTAAATCAAAAAAGACAGAAAGGCAATGCTGCCGGTTCACAAAAGCCTCACAAACAAAAGTCTCTAACCGGACAAGGTGATCCAAGGTTGAGCGACCTCTTCTAAAACCACACTGGTTTTTATCAAAAATTTTCTTTTGTTCTAGAATGTATACTAGCCTTCTGTTTATAAGCCGTTCATAAGTTTTTCCTAGACAACTAGTCAAAGCGATAGGCCGATAACTTGCTGGTAGGGAAGGGTCTTTGCCAGGCTTCAAGATGGGAATGATGTGTGCTTGCTTCCAGCAAAAACAAGAAGCTGCCCATAAATGATTAAAGAAAGACAACAAATTCATCAAGGATTCAGCCGACAAGTGCCTCAGCAGTTCATAATGAATCATATCTGGGCCAGGTGCTGACTGCTTCCTTACTGCAAGGGCTATTTCAAGTTCATACATTGTGAACGGCCGGTTGTAACCATTATCACTTCCAGAGAAATCAATTGGCTGTTTTTCTGCCAAAGACCTGAACTTTTTAAATTTAGTACTGTAATTTGAAGAACTGAAGACCTATCGAAAATGATCAGCAAGAATGTCAGCCTGATCTTTTAGTGATGGGGATGATGAAGGGAAAAGGGGAATACTGAAGGAGTGGCAAGTACCCCGAATTTTCCGAACACGATCCCATACCTCTTTTGCAGGAACAAAACTGTTCAGAGAGGATACATATTTTACCCATGAGGTCCTCTTGGCTTGTTTTCGTGTCCAACGAGCTTTTGCTTTGCACTGTTTGAATTTAATCTTGTTCTGAACAGTCGGGTACTGCCGAAACCTTCCCCAAGCCTTATTCTGAGCTTTTATGGTGGTCGTACAGTCCTTGTTCCACCAAGGCTTGCATTTCTTGGGAATATTTCCAGAAGTTCGGGGAACTGACAGAGAAGCAGCATTTATAATTTTTTTGGTAAGATAAAAAGTCGCTTCCTCAGGAGACTTAGCTAAAAAAATAGCGGGATCAACAACTGCCTCCAGAGAAAATAAAGGCCAGTCGGCTTTATCTAACTTCCACTTGGGAGCACAAGCTCGAAGAGAAGGAAGGGATACTGAACTTTCTAAAATTACAGGAAAATGGTCACTACCGAAAGGATTTTCTAAAACCTTCCAAGAAAAACAAGGAAATAAAGTAGGTGATGATATGGAAAGATCAATGGAAGTAAAAGTATTATGAGGTGCACTAAAAAAAGTTGGTTGTCTCTTGTTTAAAAGGCAAAGGCCAGATGACAGTAAAAAACGTTCTATGACACCGCCACGAGAGTCTTGACGAGCACTGCCCCACATGGAATGGTGTGCATTAAAATCTCCTAAGATTAAAAAAGGCTGTGGCAGTTGGCCCACAAGCCCTTGCAGGTCATGTAAATGCACTGGAAAGTTTGGTGGAAGGTAAAGCGAAACAATAGTAATTAGGCGGTAAAGCAGAACACGAACTGCTACTGCCTCTAAGGGGGTTGCGAGAGGGACAGGCGCACAGGCAATACCACTCTGCACAACCACGGCTACTCCACCAGAAGAGGTGTTTCAAGAAACACGGTCTTTTCTAAAAACCTGATGTCGCCGTAGTACCTGTGTATGTGTTTCATTAAGATGAGTCTCCTGTAAACAGATGGCAACAGGCTAAAGCTCATCGAGAAAAAAGTTGACATCATCAATGTTACGAAAAAGACCGCGGCAGTTACACTGCACTATACCTATATTTTTAACCATTTAAAACAAAATAAGTATAACATACAAATTATATTAAAAAGCTATATTCCTTACGGTTTAAAATCTATTTTTACACGCGGTGCACTTTGTTTTTTGGGGGAGTTATTCTGCCTCCGATTAGAGTCACCGGAGGCAGAGGGGGTGGACTCTGATCTTGAGAGGAGAGCCTCCTCATCAGATCT